CCTGAAAACGGCCCTCAGCCCCTCACCCAGGCTGGCCACGCCCCCCCAGTGAGGACCCTCACCCCAATGGGGGCATGGCTGGCCTGCAAACCACCATAGGCCCCTCGCCCAGGCCACCCTGCCCCTTAAGGAAACCTCCACCTTGATTCAGGACACCCTTCAGGGCAAACCAGCCAGCCCCCACCCATGCACCAGGCCTCTATACTAATAAAAGGGTAATATGCTAATTAGACTGGAAGACCTTCCAGGAGACCTTCTGGACATTCTTCTGGACAAAGCTATGGTGGCGGGGCCGAGGTAGAGGCGGTTAGGGGCCAAGAGGGGAGGACAGTTTTGGGTGATCAGGCTGGTGGGGGGGGGGCATTGGGGGTGATCAGGCCGGCCGGGGGATGGGCAGTTGGGGGCGAGCAGGCCGACTGACAGGCAGAGTGGTTAGGGGCAATCAGGCAGGCAGGCAGGTGAGCGGTTAGGAGCCAACAGTCCCGGATTGTGAGAGGGATGTCTGACTGCTGGCAGTCGGACATCCCCCAAGGGGTCCCAGATTGGAGAGGGTGCAGGCCAGGCTGAGGGACAACCCCCCCCCCCCCCGCATGAATTTTGTGCACTGGGCCACTAGTAGTATATAATAAAAGATCTGCAACCCTCTTAAGTGTGATTAGAAAAAATAAATAAAACTACAGAATTAGGAGCCAAGTTTTTTATAAATAGAAACACAATTCTGAAATATTTATATATGAATAGGAAAAGCAATATATGTATGTGACACCTTCATGGATTTGTCATTTAGTATGTTTGTGTTTTCAATGCCTAATTTATATAAATGTTTATTGAATGAATTTTTTGGTCAAAGTCTGAAGTTGCAGGGGTACTGTGTCATCCTATATAATAAAAGGCTAATATGCAAATCGACCAAACGGCAGAATGACCGGTTGCTATGACGTGCACTAACCACCAGGGGGCAGGTGCTCAATGCAGGAGCTGCCCCTTGGTGGTCAGTGTGCTCCCTCAGGGTGAGCGCCGCTCGGCCAGAAGCCCTGAGCTGGGCTCATGGCTGGTGAGCGCAGCAGTGGTGGTGGGAGCCTCTCTCGCCTCCGCGGCAGCGCTAAGGATGTCCAAATGCCGAACTGCAAGAGGGCGCAGGCCGGGCTGAGAGACTCGCCCAACCCCGAGTGCATGAATTTCGTGCACTGGGCCTCTAGTTATAATGTGCTATAAAGGGCTAAGGATAGAACCTTTAAATAATATCTAATCTAGCTGCTGCTTCTAACTGATGAGTGAAGTAGGGCCCAGAGAGTGGAAGCAACATTTCTAATAAGTTGTAAGGGAGGACTACTTCTCCTGGCAACACTAGCTATTATTCTGGAATGAATTGCTAATGTTTTCACAGAGATTTTATGAGCACAAGTAAAACATACAGAGAAAACATTATTGAAAGTATTTTGAATCACTGAGTTTTTTACTGATAAAGTGAGCCTATGGAAGTTTGTTTTTTCTCTCCTTATTTCTATAGATCTCATGCACCAGGTTTACATTAGAAAGGTTCAATAAGTTGAACCTAACTTTTGATCATAGCTTTCCCACAGTGCACATCTAGCAGAGCTTTTCCCCCCTCAGAGGCCTGGTTGGAAACAGTGGCCTTTATTTCTGATGTATAATTTACCTCTCCTTCCTGTTGTTTGAGCCTTGTTGGTCTTGATAAATGCCTGTTTTCTGTGCACAGCCTGTAGTTAACATGAGGGTCCTGGTGTGCAGCTACTTGGGAAGCATTGGGTGGAAATGCCTGTGAGAGTGGGCAGGGTGGGTTATTGCCAGTGCCTTTAACTCCTTTGCTTAACCCAGTGGTCAGCAAACTCATTAGTCAACAGAGCCAAATATCAACAGTACAACGATTGAAATTTCTTTTGAGAGCCAAATTTTTTAAACTTAAACTATATAGGTAGGTACATTGTTATTAACTTAATTAAGGTACTCTTAAGGCTTAGGAAGAGCCACACTCAAGGGGCCAAAGAGCCGCATGTGGCTCGCAAGCCGCAGTTTGCCGACCACAGGCTTAACCCATTAATCCAAACATCTTGTCTAGTCATAATGAATCTATAAATCTCAATGCCAGTAGAGGAAACTGTTGTAAAAAGAATCTGTTGGTCTTGTTTCACTACAGAAAGGAATGGAGGTTGCCTGGCCGGTGTGATTCAGTGGTTGAGCATCGACCTGTGAACCAGGAGGTCATGGTTCGATTCCCAGTCAGAGCACATGCCTGCTTTGCAGGCTTGACACCCTGTGGAGAGCATGCAGGAGGCAGCTGATCAATGATTCTCTCTCATCATTGATGTTTCTCTGTCTCTTTCTCCCTTTCTCTCTTTAAAATCAATAAAAAAATACACATATTAAAAGAAAAAAAAGAAGAAAGAAATGGAGATCAAACACAGCTCAGTAGTGAAGGAATTGGAGTCAACAGTCCTGGAGTTGACTCTAGACTCTGTCATTTATAAGTCATGTGACCTTGGACAGGTTCCTTAGTCTAAACCTCAGCTATCCCATCTATAAAATGTGTTAGTAATACCAAGTACCTCACAGGGGGATTAAATTTCCCCCCAGATATATGCGTGGTTTGTTCCTTTTCATCCTCTTTGAGGTATTTTCTCGGGTGTCATCTTTTTATTGAGGCTTTCCCTGATTATCTTCTCAAAATTCTAATTCTTATATGGCATTCCGTATTCCCTTACCCTGATTTATTTTTCTGCCATACCACTAATTGGCCATATTTTTTGCTGTTTGTTAATTGTCTTACTCCCACTCACAATAATAACAAAATACAATAATAATAGTAACAGGTAGTTCTTTTATGTTGGGCACTGTTCTGAGCACTTTGCATATGTTAACTAATCCTTATAGAAACGCTATTAAGTGGTACTATTATTATGATTCCCATTTTATAGATTTTAAAAATTGAGGCATAGAGAGGTTAAGTGATTTTCAAAGAACACTAAGAGGTTAGCATTGGGGCCAGAATCTCAACCTAAGCTCTCTGACTCGAGTCCTTGCTTTTAATCACTATACTATATTTCCTCATTAGAACATAAGCTTTTTGAGGAAAGGGTTGTTTGTCTTTTTTTGTTCACTATTGTTTTGTCAATAACTACAGTTGTACCTGGCACAGAGTAAGCAATGAATATTTGTTACATGTATGAATGTATAACATGTGAGAATGAATTGATACATGTGAGAAAAAAGTTAAATGGAGTTGCTTTGAGTTTTTTACCTTGGCCTCTCTTTATTATCTAGGTTCCTAACTATTGCTATAGTCCTGTGCTATTCAATACAGTAGCCAGTAGCCACATTTCAGGTGCTCAGTAGCCACATGTGGCTAACAGCTACTATATTAGACAGCATAGATGTAGAACATTTTATATATATACTTTTTAAATTTTTTTAAATATATGTTTTACAGTTAACACATATTATTGTATTAGTTTCAGTTGTACAACACAATGATTAGACATTTATATAACTGACAAAGTGATTAGTCTAGTACTCATCTGACACCATACATAGTTATTACAATACTAGTGGCCCGGTGCACGAAATTCATGCATGGGGGGGTGGTTCACTCAGCCCAGCCTTCACCCTCTCCAATTGGGGACCCCTTGAAGAATGTCCCACAGGGATTGAGCCTAAACTGGCAGTCGGACATCCCTCTCGCAATCTGGGACCGCTGGCTCCTAACCGCTCACCTGCCTGCTTGCCTGATCGCTCCTAACTGCCTCTGCCTGCCTGCCTGATTGCCCCTAACCCCTCTGCCTGCCTGCCTGATTGCCCCTAACCCCTCTGCCTGCCTGCCTGATCGCCCCTAACCCCTCTGCCTGCCTGCCTGATCGCCCCTAACTGCCCTTCCCTGCAGGCCTGATCTCACCCCTAACTGCTCTCCCCTGCCAGCCTGATCATGCCTAACTGCCTCTGCCTGCCTGATCGCCCCCAACTGCCCTCCCCTGCAGGCCTGATCTCGCCCCCAACTGCCCTGATTGAAAATTGAACACCAGCAACCTTTCGGTGCACTAGATGATGCCCAACCAACTGAGCCACATCGGCTGGCCCCATGACTATTTTTATAACTGCCAATTGGTACTTCTTAATCACATCACCTTTTTCACCCATCCCCCCCAACCCCATCTGGCAGCCATAAACTTCTCTGTATCTATGAGTTTATTTCTGTTTTGTTTGTTTGTTTATTTTGTTGTTTAGATTCCCCATGTAAGTGAAATCACGTGGTATTTTCTTTTTCTGACTTATTGCACTTAGTATAATACCCTCTTGGTCCATTTATTTGTCACAAATGGCAAGATTTCATTATTTTTTATGGATGAGTAATATTCCATTGTATATATGTACCACATCTTCTTTACCCATTGGTCTATTGATGGACACTTAGGTTGCTTCCATTTCTTGGCTATTATAAATAATACTAGAGGCCCGGTGCACAAAAATTTGTGCACTTGGGGGGCATCCCTCAGCCCAGCCTGCCCCCTTTAACAGTCTGGGAGCCCTCACAGGATGTCCTACTGATGTCCCTGTGGGGAGCGGGCCTAAGCCACAGTCTGGCCTCCCTCTGTGGAAGGCAACTGGCCCATCAGGTATATAGATACTTTCTGAAGGCAGCACAGACTCCTTCCTTATTTCTTTCCTCTGTGGTTGGAGAATAGGGGACTAAAAGGTGGAGACAGAACTGTGGCCGGGCCTGAGGCTCTTGTAGGCAGCAGAAAGAAGGAGAGGGCTGGGGAAAGTCTAGACAAGGTTTTCTTCAATTGTCCTCCCTTTCTCTGGGCCCCTCGCTCTGTTCTTTCCTTGTCGTGGTGGACGCTTGGGCCTCGGACTGACAGGAGCCCAGTGATGGTGGAGTTCAGCCCCCTCACTTCTCAGCTGAACATACAACCGCCTCACATTCCAAGTGGAGCTGTTTTCAAGTGGCTAAAGTGCTAAAGACATGTTCTGGGAGCCCTCCTTGGCTCTGAATTGCATCTGACGGTATATTCTACTATTATGTTATTTTTCATCCATGTTTCATTATTCCGTACTGCCTTTATACCCTTTCTGGACTGCTTCTGCTAACCTCTAAGCAAATAAACATAATGATTGGTGGGTAGTTCGTTCACAGCAGTCATCATCTCTCAGATTAATCTTTCCAGATGTTCATTGGACATCTTTGCCTCTGCTTGTTAAAAAATGAAGGCCATTTTCAATGCTTAACTTTGAAACCATTACTTTTTTTCTTCTTTCTGAAACCTTTTTTTTTCTTTTCCCTAATCAAGCCCTGCATATAGAGATTCTAAATCCTATCAGTTCTGACTCCAAAATATTTCCTATATTTTTTTCTTCTTTTCTATTTCAGCTCTTCCTTTCTATTTCAGACCTTCTGTTTCTCTTCTACAGTCCATTCTACATCTTCCCATGAAATATTCTAAAACACAGACATGACTGTCACTTTGTTGCTTCATTCCTTCATGGCTTTCTATTCATCTTCACAGCAGTTCTTTAGATTAAATGATAGTATTTCCATTTTATAGATGAGATCATTGCTTTTCTATAGCAGACAGTCTCAAGAGTCTTACTCTTTTTGAGGGTCTCTAATTACCCTTCTAGAACCCCAGACGTGAGGAGGGGATATTCCAAAGTCCTGGATGTCCCTATGGACATTGTAAGTATGGGCCATTGAAAATCACATGTGATGAGGATGTTTCCCCAGATGAAATAATGATAAGGTCATCATTTGTTAAGTGTGTAATCTGCTCTGGTAAAACATACATTGTCTCATTTAGTACTTCCAACAATCTAGGATATGGTTACCACTAGTATTTCCACAATACAGCAAAGGGAACTGAAATTAAGTATGCTATCCAAGGCCTCACAGCTGCTGTGACCCAAAAAAACCTATGTTCTTAATCATTATACGAAGTTGGTAGGCAGTAGTACTTTGCATATGTTGCTTCTACAAGAAAGGGGATGATGATTTAAAAAAAAAAACAAACATATTTTGATTTCAGAGAGGAAGGGAGAGGGAGGAAGAGATAGAAATATCAGTGATAAGAGAGAATCATCGATCGGCTGCCTCCTGCACACCCCCCACTGGGGATCGAGCCTGTAACCTGGGCATGTGCTCCCAACCAGAATCGAACCTGGGACCAACGCTCTATCCACTGAGCCAAACCAGCTAGAGCGGGATGATGATTTTGTGTGCTATAAACTTGATGTTGAGAATTTCCGATCTGGTGGGCTTCTGGGTTTGCTTCAGAGAACTAACATTCTAGTAGACCACTTTGATTCAATGGGTCCTTCAATAAATACCTACATTACTTTATATTCCCTTAGTATTCTATGTCCCATGACAGATAGATTTAAAATGCCAATCAAGACTAATGACCAGCAGAAGGGAGAGGAGTTTTACTGGGACTGCATTGTCATACAGCTAATTTGTTCATTTATCTATCTTTCCATATAATTGTTCATCTGTCCATCCAGAGAATAGTATCAAGGTGATACAGTGGAAAGTTTGCAGTCTAAAGTCAGGCCCTGTTTTTTGTTTAGGGCCTTGTTTGTGATCCTGACTTGTCATGTATTTCTACGGTAGTCCTTTCCCTTCTCTGTGCCTCAGTTTTCTCTTCTAAACAAAAATAAATAAAGCTGTTGGATGTCATGACCATAGACCCCTTCCAATTAGCTCTTTGCAGCTAGATGTGATCAGTAATATCGCAGTTGTAGTTTGGAAAAGGAGCACCAGTATTTTTATACTGTATCACAGGCCTTATGTAAGAATTTAAAATTTTACAAAGTAAGCTTATATATTTGCATTGCAAATCTAGCCTTTTATAAGCAACCATTGAAGAGGGACTGTGAGGATTGGTGAGTTATAGTCTTTCTAGAAATGCTGGATCACTATTTTTTGTAGCTTGGGATGTTATAGCAAGTCTGCCTGCAGCAATCCATTTCCAGCAAAGTATAACTTTGCTTCAGAGGTGTGTGCTAATTTCAGGTCATTGTATTGTGTGATTGTGAAATTGATATGCAATCAATTTATTCAGCAAATATTTTCCAAGCACATAACTGTGTTCCTGTCTTTGTGCTAGAGTTAGGAATAAAACTGTGATCAAGACAAATCTCTGTTCTCCGTGGGCTTTACAGTTGGAAGTGTGAAAGATGAGTAGGAATTATCCGAACTAGAGATAGGGGAGATGAGGGATAATCCCCGAATGATAGAAAAAGTGGTATTTTAGGCAGAGAGAACAGCGTGTGTAAAGACTTAGAGGCAAGAGAGTATTCAGGGGAATTTAAAGAAGATCAAATAGCTAGATTATAAATTATGACGGCAGGAAAATGCTATTTTGAAATTACAGCCATTTTAGGTAATTGCATCTGGATTGTGAAACAGCATGATGTCATGGAAAGGACACTAGACTTCAGATCTGAAGTTGTAGATTTTAGTCCCTGGCTTTCCACTAACTATAAGATCTTGAACAATTTATATAACTTCTCTGATTATGCTTCCTTATCTGCAAAATAGTAATTGTTATCTCTTGCACCATCCTTATAAACTATAAAAGTATTACATTATGAAAGCTTCTGCCAAGCAAAATGACATCCTCTCTCTGTTTCAAGCACTTTGTTTTAATATAGCACCTTCATTTTAGTCATACTTACACATAGCTGTTTCCTCACTAAAAAATAAGTTCTCTGAGGGCAGAGAAATGACACAGTAAGTGTCAAGTACTTGTGAGGTTTAATGAATACAGATGCTCCTCGACTTATAATAGGGTTATGCAGAAATCTAATGTGCAGTCTGATTACATGCAGAAATCTAATGTGCAGTCTGATTACATTTGGCAGACAGTATAAAGAAGCACACATCTATAAAAACTGGGCTTCATTGCATATTATACTGATAGAATTAAGGAGGGAAACCCCACTGAAATGGAGTTCTCTTTATTTTGTTTGGTAAGAAAAAGTTAATGTGATATTAAGCTGTTGAGTTCCAATAAAGTGTTTCCTTTTATTTACCCATTAATTAATTCAACCACTCAACAAATGTTTACTGAACACCCAGCTTTATACCATGCCCTTTAAATTCTAGAAATGCAGTGATGAATAAAAGATACGGTCCCTTCACCTCATAGTGCTTAAAATGTAGCAGAAAGAAAAGAATCGGGCAAGCAAATTATAGCTGCAATGAGTATTTACTACAGAAAAGTTCAGAGAGCTCCTTGATCATAAAATGGCTTATAGCGATGCCCAATCTGGCCTCTGAGGTCCTTCATAAGAGCTGAGTGGACATAATTAAGAAGTGGGACAGGATGATAATTACTGCCATGTTTTCCCTCAGAGTCTATATTCCAGCCTTTCTATACTCCATATTCTCTGAATGTGCCTTGCTTTCTCATGGTACAATTTCATGAATGGCCTTTCCTTCCCCTTCTCCCTCAAAACAGATCAAATGACACATGCTTTTGAAATCCTCTATATCGCTCCCCCTCCCGGTTACATAGGATTAGGTTCAGCTGTATATAACAGAAATCTAAAATAACAGTGTTTAAAAATATAGAGATAGGTAGACCAGAGCTAAAATGACTGCTTCACAAAATCAAGGACCCCTTCCACCATCCTTAGTTTGAGACTTCCATTCTCAAGGTCATTTCATGGAAAAGAAGGCTAATCTTTAATCATTATGTCCCAGTACTAGATACCAGAAAAGAGTAAGAGGAGAAGGAACGGCACCACCCCAGCTAACACTGTTCTCTTTAAGCTGCTCTTAAGCACAAGTCCTACACCATATTTCAGTTATATCTTATTAAACAGAAATAATCACATAGCCACATCTAACTGCGAGAGGTTGAGAAATGGAATCCTGTAACTCAGTGGTTGCCAATCTTTCAGACCTCACGGACCACCAGTGGTCAGAGGACTATAGGTTGGCGACCGCTGCTTTAACCAAACATATTGCCACCTAGTGGCAGTCATAACACCCCCGCAACCTGACCTTTAGTTAGTTGTCTTTCTTTAAATTCTAGCAGTCAGCATAATAACAGTACTATATTGCTCCTAAATGTAAGTTTCTATATCTGTTTTCTCAATATAAACACCCCAGGAACAGACATTGTGTCCTGCTATTTCTGAATCTGTAACACTTTATTTTATTATTATTTAAAAAAATACATTTTATTAATTTCTTACAGAGAGGAAGGGAGAGGGATAGAGAGTTAGAAACATCGATGAGAAAGAAACATTGATCAGCTGCCTCCTGCACACCCCCTACTGGGGATGGGCCTGGAACCAAGGTATATGCCCTTGACCAGAATCGAACCTGGGACCCTTTAGTCCACAGGCCGACGATCTATCCACTGAGCCAAATCGGTTAGGGCTGAATCGGTAACACTTTAAAGAGAGCATAGCACGGAAGGTATCAGTTCATGTGTATGAATGAGGGTATTAACGAAATGACTTAATTCCTTTTAGCTCATAAAAAATGTGTAACTAGCTCTGACCGGTTTGGCTCAGTGGATAGAGCATTGGCCTTCAATTGAAGGGTCCCAGGTTTGATTCTGGTCAAGGGCCTGTACCTTGATTGTGGGCACATCCCCAGTGGGGTGTGCAGGAGACAGCTGATTGATGTTTCTAACTCTCTATCCCTCTCCCTTCCTGTCTGTAAAAAAATCAATAAAATATATTTTTTTAATGTGTAACTACTTAACTGAATCACAAGTTTATATTTTAACAGCTTTTTTGACATAATTTACATATGATAAAATTTACTCATTTTAAGTATGCAATTTAATGATTTTGTTGTTATTGTTAATCTTCACCCGAGGATATTTTCTCATTGATTTTTAGAGAGAGTAGAAGGGAGGGGAGTGATAAACATTGATGTGAGAGAGACACATTGATTGGTTGCCTCCTGCATGCACCCAGAGCAGGCTGAGGATTGAGCCTGCAACTGAGTACATGACCTTGATTGGAATCGAACCTGGGACCCTTTAGTC